TCGGGGAGCGGTTTAAACTAGATTGACAGGGAAATGGAAACTAGAGGGCAGTGTCAGAGTAGGGAATGAGAGGCAAAACTAAATGAATGACTCTGAAAGTATAGAGGAAGCAGGGGTTTAAAAATACACAACACAAAGAATTGTCAGTATGAACAAGTATGATATGTAAATGCAAGGAGTGTAGTGAGGGAAGCTGATGAGCTGAAGGCATAGTGAGACATGTGGTAGCATGATACCATTACTCAAACAGGAATGTGGCTTAAAGAAGGCGAAAGATGGCAGTTTACCATCCATGGTTATAGAGTTTTCAGGCAGGATAGAGAGGGAATGAAGAAAAGTGGGTGTACAGTAGATATGTTTCTAATCAACCAGTTTGAAGACATTACTACACACCACCTGGTCCAGAGGTAGGGACACTACCATCGTACCCATAAGATCTCCTGATGAGGTTTTATTTTTGTTTTAAAAAGTATATGAAAAGCAAGAAGGTGACAAAAAAAACGTTGGGCCTATCAGAAAGGTATTTGGTAATTTGGCATGGATGCAGAAGATGTGGGCAGGCTTCTGAATGATTATTTTATTTCTGCCTTCACAAAAGAGAGGGATGATGCAGATATTTTAGTTAAAGAGGAGAAGTGTGAAATATTAGATAAAATAAGCAGTATGAGAAGGGAAATACCGGAGACACTGGCTAATCACCAGAGCTGGGTGAATTGTACCTGAGACTGCTAAAGGAAACCAAGGAGCAAACACGGGTACTCTAAGGATTATTTTCCAATCCTTACTAGATACCAAAGAGGTACCAGGGCGCTAAAGGTCTATGAATGTTGTGTCATTATTCGAAAAGGGCTGCATGTGATAGAGCAAATAATTATAAACCAGTCAGCCTGACATCAGTGGTGGGTCTGTTATTGGAATCAATATTGAGAGATAGAAGTAACTCAGTTCAAGAGGCACAGATTAATCAGGGACAGCCAGCATGGTTTCGTTAAGGGAAGGTCCTGTCTTACTAAGAGAATACAGACAGCATGGTCAGAGAAATAAAAGTGGTGGGGTAAAGGATGATGTGTCACCTTGAATCTAAAATGGGCTCAGTTACAGGAAGGGAAGGGTAATGGTCAATGGATGATTTTACGATTGGAAACCCATTTCCTGTCATATTCCAGAGGGCTTAGTTTGGGCCCTTTGCTGTTTGTGGGATATATTAATGATTTAGACTTAAACATGGGAGGCACAATTGAGAAATTTGTAGGCGATACCAAAATTGACCACGTGGCTGATGCTGAGGAGGATGACTGGCCAACCATTGATTGATATCAGTGGTTTGGTTGAGTGGTTGGGAAAAAATGGCAAATAGAAGTCAGTCCGGGTAATCATGCATTTGGGGAGGCTGGAGGGGTGATATAATTGAGGCGTGCAAAATACTGAGGGGCTTAGGATAAAGTGGGCAGGGAAGGCTTGATTCCCCTAGCGGAATTTGGGGGCAGCACAGTGGCTCAGTGGTTAGCACTGCGGCCTCACAGCGCCAGGGACCTGGGTTCAATTCCACCCTCGGGCGACTGTCTGTGTGGAGTTTGCACATTCTCCCTGTGTCTGCGTGGGTTTCCTCCGGGTGCTCCGGTTTCCTCCCACAGTCCAAAGATGTGCAGGCTCGGTGGATTGGCCATGCTAAATTGCCCATAGTGTTCAGGGATGTGTAGGTTAGGTGGGTAATAAGGGGATGGGTCTGGGTGGGATGCTCTGAGGGTCGGTGTGGACTTGTTGGGCCAAAGTGCCTGTTTCCACACTGTAGGGATTCTATGATCTATGATCAGAAGTCAGTTACCGGGGAGCACAGATTTCAGGTGATTGATCTAAGGAATAGAGGAAAAGTCCAGAGGCTGGTGAGCACCTGGATTTCGCTGGGCAGTTGGTGGTTGAGGTGGAAATCTGTAATTTAATTTAAAGTAACCTCCATCTGCACCTGGACTGCTGTAACCTATAACGCTATGGACCTGGTGTTGGTAAGTGGGATTACACTGTGTAGCTAGTTTATTTCCCGGCACTAAACTGGGGGTTCACAACAACTTTGATTTAGATTGTAGCAGGAACATGGGAAATGCAAGCAGACCATTTGGCCCGTTGAGCATGCTGTGCTATTTCACAGGGTCAGGGCTGATCTTTTACTTCAACACCATTTTACTGCACGATCACCATATCCAAGGATACCTTTTAATATCTAGAAATCTGTTCACTCTGTCTGAATATACCACAGATCATTCAAGTAATGATAAAGTAGGGTCGTATTCTCTACTTTTGGATTCTAGCTGGGCGCTGATCTGAGATAATCAAGCATGTGGGCCCCTTCTAGCAAAAAAAGCAAACAATAAGGCATATCCCACCATCTAAACTGCATTGGAATCTAGGGGCATAAAGTGGTGTCCTAACTCCGTTATATTTCCCAGGTCCCTGTGTACATTTAAACTAAACGTACATATGTAATTAGCACTGTGTTGGTGGTCTGATCCCAGTGTTCTGATTTTATTAACCTCAACTCAATTAGTGCAGCTCGCTAAAGTAATATAATCTAATTGCTCTGTACATTAAGGAAATCTTACTGGGATTTTTAAAGTTGGCTTTTGGTATTTTTCAATGAGTCATTGTTGGTCTCGTTTTTGAACGCTGTTAGCTCGGTGTGAGATGAAGATAATGGCAGCTTTTGTGGGAGTTAATAGCATTTTCTTCGCCAACGTGAGTGCAGCTCTGAATGACAGTGTACAGAGGGTAATTATTAGTTATCAGCTGCCAACAATACCTCAGCCAGGTGGCATTGAGTACCTTCTTATAAGAAATTGGGGCTTTTAATATTTGGAGCATATACTACCTTTGTGGTGTTGGTTAACAGCATCATGCGCCATTCACGTTATCCTATTTGTTCGCTTCATTTAAAGAGGTTTTTTTTGTTGATTGAGATGTGAGTTGTAGATGTTGGAAAAGGAGTCGGTTTTTCGGTTCTGAAGAAGGGTCACTGGACCCGAAACATTGCCAACGCTTTCTGTCCACAGATATTGCCAGACCTGCTGAGTTTTTCCAACAATTGTAGTCTATTTGTTTCTGATTTCCAGCATCCATAGTTCGTTTTTTCTTTTCAGCTTTTCAATTTTTGGGACAAGTATCAATTTTGGATGTAGCGCTAGTTAGGCGCAGAGTCAATTCCTTTTTGTTCCAGCCAATAAAGTGTATCCTTGCTCCCAAACAATCACTCCCTACACCCACAATTTCCTCAAGGGCCTGTGAGCTGAGCTGTTTGTGAGTTGAGACTTCCTGAATTCATTCCACATTGGTTTGTGCACATCTAGAACTGGGAGACTTTAAATCCATCATCCCAGGCTGGATTCAGACAATTCCCAGAAATGATAGGACAGAATTCTACCCAGTTCAGCCACCCATCTTAAAGCAGCAAGGTCACCCACTTTACCACCTAGCTACTCCAATTGGAATGTTCCAACGATGATTAACACTGTGTGTATATGTGTGTATATGTGTGTGTGTGTGTGTGTGTGTGTGTGTGTTGCAAATGCATCCTTGTTTTACAATATTGTGTTAGTGTCCCTACTTTTAAAGCCCAGGTTTAAGTCCCACCTGCTTCAGAGGTGTATATTAACACCCCTGAACAGGTTGATTTGGAAAATACGTACAGAGCATGTTGGGTCACTTAGCTCAGTTGGCTGAATGACTGGTTTTGCAAAGCAGAGTGACTCTAACAGCACAGGTTCAACTCCTACTCCAGCTGAGGTCACCATGAAGGACCACCTTCTCAACCTCTCCCCCTCGGCTGAGGCATGGTGACCCTCAGGTTAAATCACCACCAGTTGTCTTTGTCTCTCAAATGGGAGCACTGCCCCATGGTCCTCTGGGATTACCGTGATTTTACTTTAGACACCATGTATGATGCTATGATTTTGTAACTGGTCAAACTAGTCTATTCTGAATGTAATCTCAAAGAATTTACTGTGTATTGTTGTATAACATTTAGAACAGATGTCAAACACATGCGTACGCAATTTCCCAAAAGCCCAATTTGGATGTGCCTAAAAAACCCATTTATCACTTTTATTTCATGATGGGTCAGATCTGCTTTAAGCATATTATTTTTCAAGGATGTGCTTTCAGATTTCCGGAACAAAAATAATAATGAAATGAATAGGTTTAACAATAAAACATCTTTTGTTCAGAACTCTCCACTCAATGTTGGTGTCTAATTTGTACGTTTTAAGTCATGTGCACACTTGTAGCAAAAACTGTGTAACCTTAGTAACATTCCTCATCCGTTGGTTAGATTTCTAACTTAAATGGATGCAAATAACTTTGTTTAGACCAAATGAGTTATTTGGCAGTTTTTTTAAAAGAAATATATTTTGTATAAACAAATTGCTAAGTATTTCATTGCTTTTACCCTTTGGATATAATACAAAAATGTTACCACACAGAGTTGCACAGAGAAATAAAATGACAAGGATTTGGATTATTCAGTCTTGACCAAATTTGTCAGGAATGTCATTGAAAAATCCCAAGAGTCTGTGTCTTTTTACAGTGGAGTGGGAGAGTAACCCGCGAACACTTTGTGGGAACTGGTTTAGTGTAGGTCTGCTGTGGCAATTACTCTGTACTTCAGTTTGAGTCTCTGTGCATTTTACATGTAAGGTTGCAAGATTCTAACATTTGAGTTAGAGATGCTCAGAGGCAATGCAGCAAAGACAATGTTAAATAGTTGAAGAGGTAATATGTTAGTGCTGACATGTAATTGCTAAGGAAGATAACAAAAATAAATAACGTTACACTTCTCTTGAGGATCAATAAGCTGGATCTCAGTCATGTACATTATTTCACAATTCTTTATACCTTTTTAGTTTCTTCAATCTGTATAAAATGGAATCTGTTTGACAGCATCTTCAGTTTTATTTAACAATCAATTTTTCCATTGACATTGTGCAATGACCTGTCGATATTATTATTTGCAGGTTTATAATGCACTGAGAGAGGCAGGGGCAGCAGAGTCACTCGATTACCTCCTGCATCCATCAAGAAAGATCTTGGCTTCAGCAGTTGTCTACAGAAGCTGTGGAGGTGGGACCTGCATGAAACTGTGTGTCCATGCCTCTGTGCTTGAGCTCCGTGCCACCCTACACAGGACTGCAGTTTCTGACCACGTGGCTGGTGCTCTGCTAGAAGCAACTGTAGCCACCGGGGCAAGGAGTGCACTACCAAGTCCTTTAGGGGTGCCCACTGGCAGAGCGATGCTTAAAGGTAAGTGCGGCAGAAAAATGTGCTTTCTCCCCAATGCTAAGTATGAGCATTTGAGGGGATGTGAGTCTGTTTGTTTATATTGACAGCTCAGGCAATGTTTTTACATTTGACTTTGTTGCATTGTGTTGTTCTACAATAATAACAATTTCTGAATTTTAACACAGGAATTTAAATGAACTCTTCCTGTTCAAGCATTGACGTTGCAAAGAATAATCCTACAATGTGTCTCTTCTGTCGGAATCAGTGGCTCCCTCTTGGGGGGTTTTATTTCTTATTTGTTATTTAGTTTTCTTGCCTGTACTCAGTGGGTTGCTGCCGAAAGCATCCAACTGGTAGATTTCTCAAACTGGCTGACAGTGTTTCTGGCGTTAATTAGGAATTCTACTAAAGGTGCAGTTTAGTTCTACTGAAGCTAAACAGAACAAAGGAGCCTTCGATTTCCTATTAATAAGTGGCAGATGAAATCCATTCCATTCCATTGCGGGTTTATTTAAGAATTTTTTTTAGTATGTGCAAGTGGTGACATTTTCATCTACTGAAAATGTTGAGATCAAAACATTACAGGCTTCAAAAGAATGTTGAAGGGGTTAAGGATTAGTTTATTTGTAAGTCGTGAAACACATTAGATTGATCAGTGGATGAGTGAATTATTTCTGGCTGTGTGCTACCCAAGGATGAATAGAAGAGGCTGATATTACTATTTGCAAGGCGGACTACAAGAAGATATGCAATGTGTGAATGCTAAACTCTATTTCTTATAGGGGGTTTAGACTGAACTGTTTCACGTCTCCCAGTTGTTCATTTGACCTTCCTTGGTATTATGCATAAAATTCCAACTGAATCAGTTAGTTCATGAGCTGCTGTTAATAACTTTTTAAGCTGGCATCTTCCTCACTGGGCCACACTGTGAGACAGAACAAGATGCTACAAGCAGGATTTAATAAAGCGGTTGGCAGTGAAGTTGAGTACATCCACTCACGGTATCTGTGTGCATGTCCCCCCTTAAAAGGCTTCATTTTATGAGGTAAAACCAAAATTATTTTAGCCACCTGACTTGAAGGAAACACTCCCGATGTCTTTAAATTAACCCTTTCTTCATCCCAGTTTCCCAATTTGTCTTCCATTGCTGGTGTCAAGGTTCTGCAAACTTCTAGCACATGAAGTGGTTACCTCCTGATACATTACAATGTGTGCATTCCGCACAGACTGAAGTCTGTGCCATGAGATGGTAAGAATTGGGTAAGTTGACATATGCCATCTGGCATGGGCGTTGTTTAATAAGAGGAGAGTTGCAAGTCCGTGACCCAGGTATTGTTGACTGGATGGGTGGAGACTGTGTTTCAGCTCTTAGTTATCACTTAGTTATCACATGGCTGTCATTGTATGTTATTTTGCTATCGTTTCCAATTTGGGACATGCAGCTGTCATAGAAAGAAACAAGATTGGCTATATTTTACCACTGGAGTTTCTGCCAATTGTGCCCTGTACTATTGGTGCTAGTTTGGAGTATTCATGTGCCAGTTCGTGAAGGTGGTGAAAGTTTTGCATCTTCAAAGAATGGGTTCTGGAAGACACAGCAATTGACAAAACGTGGCAGGCATGGAATTGTAGCAGTCCCAGATAAATGTTTCTTTAGCATTAGTTGTCCATTTAATGCTTAGTAAAATACTGTATCAATACTGCACTGCCAGGCTAAGGTGAGCTTACCCAATGTGCCCAAAATCCATGCGAAATACTGACAGCATGTTTAGGGATGATGCCAGGAGACTTCAAGAGAATGGGTGGCAGTTTCCATCCGCTCCAGTTTCTCCTCTGGGCTTTCATTGTTTACAGATGCTCAGAGGAATTCATCACTCTTTACAAAAAAAGTGTTTTGGAAAAATTTCAATCTTTGTATTAAGGGCACGTTTTAAATTTTCCAGAGCACCTGTGTAACAAACATTGTGACAAAGTCATGAATGGGGAAAATCATTATAATGTCTTGGGAGGGCATATTTAATACTGAAGGATTAATCCCTTGGTCCCAAGCATGCTCAGGGCGTCATGGGTCAGGGAAGTGGGTTATAGCTTGAACTTACAAGTTACTTACCAGTGTGAGTCCCTGCTGGAAATACAGAATTACTGCTTCAATGTCTGCCCCCAGGGTGACTGTACCTCCTGAATAACATTGTGTCATGAGAAGTGGCTGAAAGTTGATGATACCAGTAAAGTTCCTTTAATTACTTGAGACTAATTTAGTTAAATCTGTATCCTCTTTACCCTCCCTGATTCCTTTCACCGACACTTTGGAAATTAAAGTTAAGTAAGGACTCCATGTCATTCCCTAGTATATATGGAAATGCACATCATAAAATTGTTCACTTTTTCAACCATTAAAGGCAATGGCATATAAATTTTATGTCCCATTCAAATGGATTAAAATATTTTATTGATCTTGGATTGGACTGAAAATCTTATTCTCCTTTTAAAGTTCTTGTTTTTAAAAGTCTATGGTTTAAGGCCTCATATGACAAGCCCTGTCCTTACCATATTTGGCTGCATGGATATAGTTTTAGACATCAGAGAGCCTTGAAGCCATGAACAATCACAAATCTGTGCTGATCGGCTGTTACTCCTTCACGCCAAAACAGTTCACACAGAAATTGATCATTTTCCTTTCTTGCCTAAACTTTGTGCTGTCATTCTGCCCATGCTGTGTTGCAGCCTGTTTTGAACTGTTTAAAATTGGGCAAAATAGAATTTGCTTTGAGATCGTGAGGCGGTAACACGGCATCGAGTGTTTGCCAGCTCTTGCACTGTGGGACCAGCTGTGTGCTCTCATAACATACTGTTCTGTGCCATCCCTGAAATCGACAACAATGAACAGTGCTAATGTTTACATATTAAAGATCACAGCCGCTAAACTGAACCTACAGTCCCGCAAAGAGATCCTGTTTATGTATTTTTCATTTCATTGAGAATACACCCTGACCCTCAGTTCCTGACCTGCTGCTTCAACACAAGTACAGGAATGTTATTGGCTGTTGAGTGGCACCCTTTGCCTATGCAGATTCTTCTAAAGGTGGTCTTCTGGTGGTTTGGTTGCTGGTGAAGCTCGTTGATTAATGCTTGCATCTATTCATTATCAACTGTGCACCGAGGGTGATCAATAGCTTGTACAATCTGCTTCAGATCACTTTATCAGACTTTATATGGAACTGCGTATAACTAACCATGAAACATGCTGCTGCTCGATGTTTTTATGGCCATTTATTATGTTTGAAATGTGCTTCAAGGGTAAAATATTCTGGTGTAGATTTACATGAAAATAAAAGCTAATTTGCCTCACAGGCAAGTCCAAATAAGCCCAGTTGTGTTATTTTACTGAAAGAATAACATTAAAAGAAAAATATTCTGATGTTAATTAAACTATTGTAAGTGCATAATTATGTGCATAAATATTCTGTGGTAGTAAAGTCAAGGTACATCTCATCACCGCAGCACATTTGTATATTTGGAGTTTTGTTTATAAAATTACTGAAAATTAGCCATAATTTAAGCGTGATTTTTCTGATAGCAACTTTGGAACTTTTTACTAGTCAAAGTTCAGAGGACACCATTCACAGGTTTGTAGTTCTATTTAGGAGGTTGACATGACAACAGCAGATAGTGATGTAGAATGGAGCACAGTTTGTCCATTAGCTTCATCCTCTGGCTAACACACTGCAAGGACAGATAAATGAATGTGAGCAATTTCTCAGTGTGTAGAAAGTCCCTTTTGTAATAAGGTTATACGTGTGCTTATTTGGATTAAGAATAAAATAATTATAGAATGGCTACACCACAGAAGAAGGGCCATTATGTTAATCCTGGCTCTCCACAAGAACATATTTGGTAGTCTCATTCCTCTGTCTTTTCTTGTAACTATGCATTTTTTTCCTATTTAGATAATTACCTAATTATCTTGTGAAAGTCAGGATTGAATCTGCCTCCACCAAACTCTCAGGGAGTGGATTTGAGATCCTAAGCACCCACAATATGAAAGTAGTTTTCCTCAGGGTCCTTCTTGTCCATTTGGCTTTGACCTTAAAGTAGTGTCCGCTGGTTCTTGACCCTTCTGCCCAAGGGAAAGGTTTCTGGCTGTCTAATCTGTCCGGTTGCCTCAAGAATTTGATCACCTCTATTAAATCTCCAATCAAACTCTCAGGAGAACATCGCAGCTTCTTTGATCTGTCTATGTAGCTGAAGACCCTCATCACTGCAGGCAGTCTTGGCAATCTTTTCTTCATCTTCTCTAAAGTTTCCCAAATTGCGGTCCACAAAATTGGGTACAGTTCGCCAGTTTAGGCTAAATCCATGTTGTATAAAGGTTCGCCATGACTCCCTCCCTTTTGTACTCTACTTCTAAAGCCCAGCATGCTCTACATCTTAGTAACAGTGTTCTCAACCTTCCCTATCAACATCAATGATTTGTTCATAGTCTCTGTTTCTGCCCTCTATTTTATATTGTGCCTTTTCCCATTCTTCACACTAAAATGTATCACTTTACATTTCTAAGTATTAGATTTCATCTGCCACATCCCTGCCCATTCCACTAGTCATGGTATGTCCTCTTGACATGCGTCACTGTCCGTTTCACAGCTCGCAATACTTAAAATATTTTGTGTTGTGTCCTACACACACAAATCATAGTCTTCAGTAGAAATCACAAAAAAAGTTGTTCTAATACTGACCCCAGGGGAACCTCACTATGTATCTTTCTGCAGTCATGAAGTAAGTGTTTGCCATTGCTTTCTGTTCCCTGTCACTCAACCAGCTTTGTATCCATGCTGCCGTTGTCCCTCTTCTTCCATAAGTGAGAGCTTTCCTATTGGAGAATGGCCACCATGGAGCTCTGAAAGAATTGTAACAACTGTGTCCAGTCCTAACAGAGAGTCTCAAACTTGTACAGAACCACCCCCACTCCCCCATCCCTTTCATGATTCTCATTTGGGATTTGTGACAATTTTCAAGCCTTCAGA